CTGACTATCTTGACTACTCGCAAAACTACCGTTTTCTACAGGCACATTTTAGCGGCGTATTTTTCATTATGATTCTACTTGTGATAGTCAGACAGGAAAACCTGTGCAGCCCATGTATTGATCCCATCCGATAGCTGCTATAATACAAAACAAAACGTCTGCCTGCTCTCCACAATGATCAATAACAGCGAACGGATGGTCAAAGTAAGGTACAAATAAACAGAATCACACGAAGCCTGGTTTGTGTTGCCTGACTTTATAAAGTGTGTTTTTTTTTTACAAGTGTGTGGTTGCGTTCTAGTCACTTTGCTCAGCACTTACAACTTTTATTTGCCGTACTCGCCATAAACTGTTAGCTCAGGTTAATCTCGCCCCTCTCCGACGTAAGCGTGGCGTATGCGGTTCTTGCTTCTAGACCGAGAATTTGTTGGTGCTTGGTAAGCACCGGTATGCAGTGCTTAGAGCCAGCTCCACTGCGGTGTGAACAGGAAAAACCGGTGCTTATCAGGCTCTAGCTCCGAACCGGCTATGGAACCGCGTTGGTGTGAAAAGGGCATAAGTCATGAGTGTGTACGTTTTTGAGGGATGTGGTCAATATCTTTGCACAGGAAAATAGAATGAATGAGCTCATCCACAAGATTTAAGCAAGGCTTTAATCAGAAGTAACTCCCCTGCCATCCTCATTGTTTACCCTGCTCTTTCCTAGATTGCATTATATTCCCTTTGTCCCTTATCTTTGCTTGTGCCAAGACTTTGAAGAGGACAGTGAAAGCACCGCTGAACATCTGAGGGTAATCTGGGGTAAATAATGCATCACTCTTTTGAATCGGCCCTATAGCCCCTAAGAGACTGCTGCAGGGATCCAGGTCATTGGCAGAGATGATGTATAGAGAAGATAGAGATAAACTGCCTAAGATAAAGACAGGGTAATTGTACTTAGTTAAATTGACATAGAGAAAAAGCGATAGGGAGTTTGATAGAGACAGAGAAAGGGAGCTAGACAGAGATGGTGACAGATGTCCAACTTAAGAACTAGTTCATATCTTTACAGTCGGATATACAGGCTTTTGCTTTTGAGTGACAAATCTCTTAGCATTTATGTCAGCTGCCAAAATTGGAGATCCATTGGAGAATTGGCTCAGGGCATAACATGTCCAGATACAGGACAACTGTACTCATAAAAAGTGAGTGAAATGAAGAAGAATTATTGTGTTTGAAAGGACTGTCCTTTCAACACAACGTACACATTACATTGAAGAATCCGACAAGGCACTTTTATAAAGGAATAGAGGTTGCCTATGAGGGCCATTACACAGCAGGGGCTAATTTGATAAATATGCATATCGATATTTATCAATTGTGTTAGCAGAACATGTTAAGTTAAGGATTATCATAAAACAATGACATGGTGGCTCTGTAGTCCAGAGTCTTACTTTATTCCCCTTTTCAAACTTGACAATAGCAGCAAAGAACAGTGTAACTGCTTCTGTTTAAAAGCTCTAGACACATAATAGTCACTGGCAACGAATTTGCATTCTTCTGTCGTTTATTCATCACGCTCCAAGTTTTTGAAGGCCTTACAGTAAGCCTCACACCAAACGACTAAACAGGGCCTTTCTCAGTATATGTAATTACAATCCATATTGCTGTTTCAAAACATAACTTTTGTTTTTAATCCAGTCACCTCAATGGTTAAGACGTGGTAAAGTTTAGCCACTGAATTGTTGTTAAAAGATTATTTTGGTCAATGTAAGGGGGTAAGGTGTAAAGGATGTTGGCTTGGTTATATGTTACCAGTGTTGACTGTTGCTGCAAGATGGGATATAAACTAGGGCTGCTCGATTATGGCAAAAATCATAATCTCGATTATTTGGGTCAATAATTGATATCACGATTATTAAAAACGATTATCCATTTACTTTGAAAACATCCATTTATTGAAAAAGAAAATGTGAACAGTATGTTTTTAATAGTTGATTACCCTGAACTTTAAGTATAATTCAACTGAAAAACCAATAAAAAAAATAATAATAAATAAATAATCGTTTTATTTCGATGTTTTCATAATCGTTGCAAGCCAAAATGATCGACTCTAATCTTGTTTTCTCTCGCGTAAAGATCAGCAATAAAGAATAAACTCTATGGTATGGCAGTTTTCGACCCAAACTACCTAACGAAAATATGCATTTTTTGTTTACTACATCTCCCCCAGTCATGCATATCTCTTAAAGCTTTCCTCTGATTCATACCCCACATTCACCTTTTTCTCCGCAAAGCAAAAAGGTTCGTTTTTGAGCAAAGCAACGTATGTTTGATGTTCTTGTGTTACCAGTTACATTGCTGGCCTTTTGACTAAGATTCAATCAAACTGAGAAAGCAAGTCGGACAGAGTGATGAGGGAAAGAAAACCCTGCGTAGCTTTATGTTTGATGTGTTCGCCAATCAGCGAGTGTATGAGTCAGGGGAGCTTGATCCTCTGGTGTGTCCACTGTGTGCAATTACTCCAGCATTTGTCCTCATCACCTGTTTAACTGCCTCTGGAAAAGGAACACAAGTGTTTACTGTCACACAAAGTACCAGCATTGAGTCAACAGACATGGACAGGGTGTCCAAAGAGAAGGAGATATGGGGGGGGGGTGATGGATGGAGAATATGGAGAGGAACAGAACAGCAAGTGGGTCGAAGAGAAAAAGAACAAGGGATGAGAGAGTCATTTATATAAAGGTTTTATTGCAGGTAGCCATTTCTGATTGCCTCGGCATTATGATATCCAACACTATCTTTTTTATATATTTTGTTCTGTCAGCTAAAGCCTGATTTTATGTTTATTTTAACAACAATTTACAAGTGACACTGATTTATCTTTTTTTTTTTTTTAAATGCTGGTACAGCGACTGGTCTTATCTGTTTCAGGATATTAATGCTTTTTGCGATTAAATTAGAAAAAGAGAGAAGAAAGATGGATTAAAGTAAAGAGCCAACGATGGTTTAGTCTGAATTTGGTTTAGATTTAATTTAGATTTGATATCTGTCTGTATAAAGTATGTTTTTGGTGATACTCTCCCACGCTAATGCTCCATATTTAGTTTTCTGTCATTTAGATGTTTGTAAGGTCACAGTTTGTACAGTTTCAAAGTGTTTGAATGTGTGTAATTTACAACTGATGTGTTTTACTGTCTGTTCCAACACAGGTCAGTTGATACCTCTAAAATTGTGCTTGTTGCCATGCCTGCTACCAACGGTTATTTTAATAACCAATAAATTGTATTGAGTCAAACACCCTGACATGCATTTGGGTGTAATCGTCATCACATCAGGGAATTATTCCTGAATAATATCCCCTCTTAGATTGGTTCGTTGGGGATAGGAATAATCTTGTAAAATATAATTAGTTTGAAATTTGATTATAAAATATACTTGACATTTTTGAAGTGACCACGTGCTGTCAGCGACTTTACCGAGCTGACTAAACACATCAAGTGGAAAACCTTGACTGTTTGTACCTACTAGCTGTAACTCTAAGTAGGTTCGGTGTGGGCACATTCTTCAGATCAGGACATGCATTCTGTCGGTTGAGAGGGGCAGTTGCTGGCTAGTCTAGTCACTATGGAAACACCATAGGCACTAAATGAAGCTAAAGCAGCCTGTTTTTATTGAATCACACTACTGCCAAAACTCCCTACCGTACAGAAATGTAGTATCTGTAGCGTTTTTCTGACCCCAAAACCATAAATGTATGTGGACTAAAGCCAATGCTCAGCACTTGAGACTCTGCCATAACCAGTTTAAGTTTTTAATGTAATATCACACCCAAATGTACCTAATACATTTGATTTCTCTTCTAATACTGAGCCCAGGGTCACATAATGTCCTGATCCAATCCGCACTGAGACTTCAGACTGGGCCAAAGTTGAGCTGTGAAAAATAAGGATTGGATGTCCTTTTGGCAAAGTCTTCATTTTGTTCTGGCTTTTAGGTCAGACTACATCTGTTCTGCTCATTCAGCTGAGGACGAGCGGTGTTTTGGCGGCTAGGCCTCGGTGCTTTAAAATGAAATCTCTTCTGCCTCTACACCTCTCTACGACAAGCAACACAAGAGAGGACTGATAGCAGACAGAAGTAAGCACAGTTGTTTACACTTGACCTGCCTTTTCAGAGCATGGCGGAAAGAGATAAGCAGACACAGTCAGCTCTTTGCACCTGAGGACAAAGGAACATTCCCGATAAAAAAAGTAAATAATGTTCCACTGAGTTTGCCCACAGAATACGTGCTCTACCTGAGACTTATGTGTAGTTTACATTGTTGGACTCTGGGACTGGAATAGATCCTTTGAAAAGACATTTTCTGCATATTATTTGATATAAAATGCAATTATTTCTGGGGCAAATCTGCTTTCAGTCTGCATTCAACACTAGTGGAAAACATCTGGAAAATGATACACTTACCTTTCTGGTTTTCGTTAGATCTTGGTTGCACGATAACGATAGAAATGAAAGAAAAGAGTATCGCCTACACAACTCAAATTTAGCCGAAGGAATCCAATGAAAATAAGATTAAAATTAAGATCACCTTTATTAATCCCCAAGCTGAAATTATGTTCTTCATGTTGGTGTTTTTATTCAATTATACACAAACACGCACAAATAGGAACTTTAGACATGCTCTAATAGAGAGATGGCAGAGCGAATGGGCTGCCAGTGTTCCAGCACTCACTTAGGGGTTTGATGCCTTGCTCAAGGGTACTGTGGCAGTGACCACAAGGAGAACTGGCACCTCTCGAGCTACCAGCCCACACTCTGTATTTTAGGTTGGTGACCCAATGGTTCCTAAGCCAAGTCCCGTGAGCTACTGCTGCCCCTAAAATGACAAAAATGTAAATAAATTGTAAAAACAGTGCACAGAAATGGGTGTTTTTGAACTAAATGGCAACACAAGTGATTAAATTTGTGTCCTGACAATTATATTTATATTTAATTCTTTGTCTTTCTCTCCCACACAGAGTCAGGCCATGCGTATTGTTCGGACAGTCGGCCAGGCGTTCGAGGTTTGTCATAAACTGAGTCTGCATCACACACAGCCGAACGCAGACGGACAGGAGGACTGTCACAGCGAGAAGAACGGCAACGACTCCTCCATCACAGGTACACAAACACACACAAACACACAGCCTGTATCCCACCCTCACTGGGCTGCATTGTATTTAAATGTTAAGCACTGCCTCAAAGCCCTCCATCGCTTGTTGAAAACCATGAAATGTGTTTGCCTTTAACAGAAGATGAAGCACTTACGGCTTGTTCTTCTTACACCTTACCCCCTTACATTGACGGCTATTTCTAAAGCCAGACATTATGCATTTCGTTGTGCACAGCAACATTTCCTAACCCCTCTCTTATACAAAACAACTGGTGATGCATGCGTGCTTTGTGGACATGCTCAATTATTGGAAGATTCCACAGTCAGGGGGACATACAGTAGGTGGGTGGAAATGATGTAAAAATACACGATGTAGAGCGTTGATGGCAGTGATAAACACCTGGCTTATTATCTGACAGCTTATATTTGACATGTCATTGAACTTCTTTCTTAGAGTCACCACAATGATAACCACAGCAATTGTTTTGTTGAATGATGTTATTGTTACAGATACTGTAGAACTGTAAAAAACCTGTAGTAAACCTTTTAAGGAGTTAAAAAGGGACCTATTATGCTTTTGGGTTTTCCCTTTCCTGCAATGTGTTAAATAGGTTTGTGTGCATGTAAGTGGTCTGCAAATGCTAAAATCCCAAAGATCCCTCCAGAGGGAGTTTCTCTCCCACACACTCCCCCCCTACCTGAAACACCTCCATTGGACTCCTTGACATCACTATGTAACACCTGCACTTCTATTGGCTAGCATTCCAACACATTGTACGTGATAAGGGGCAAGACATCTCTAAGCAGTAGACCAATCAAATACAGACGGCCAGCTAACCAATCAGAGCAGACTGGGCTCTGGTTTCAGACAGAGGGTGAAAAGAGGTGCTGCAGCACAGGCAGTATGAGAAAAATAAGGACCGTTTTGAACATTAAAGCATGGAGATATGTGACAGTAGAGGCACGCTGAACATGAGCATAATAGGAGCCACTTTAGGTGATGGTCGTAGGTTTTGTGTTCAGGACAGAGAGGAGGTTGGAGTTCCAGAAGGAGTTGGGTTTTCATTTTTTGGCAACTGAGTTTCACATAATCTTCTTTTATTTTGAAAATCCAAAACCACTTTCTGTGTCTCCACTTGAAAGTGCCCTATCCTACCTGACTTATATAATATTATTCATCGTTAATAATTGTTAATAACTAGACCTGCTCATGCTAGAACCCCATCTTTTTGGGGCCCCACTTTGAGGCATACTACGAAATTGATTATAAAGTGAGAATGCAAAAGCTAAAGTGTGGACGGAACATTCCCCAGTGCACTTTTCACATATTTCTTCAGATTGTCTCGTAGACGCGCTCCACACACAGTTGTGCTTAATTCCGCCTGCCTTGTGCCCGAGTTGGCCAGCTGGAGAGGGCGGTGCTGGAGTGAATGCTACGGATGAGTCAACTCAAAGAAAGAAGGCCACACTGGTGGGCTTAGCTGCTATTATCCTCTGCCTCGTGCCTGAACAGGGTGGGCTTCACTGCATCCAGGGGACACGTGTCTCTGTGAGCACACACATGGGAGTTCAGCCGTTGGAAGATCCCACATTAAGAGCTGTTCCACACCCTCGTTCCAGTCTTTACTGCAGCCAGCGTCAGATACCCTCCCCAACCAGATCTAATAGCGCCATACTAGGATACCTCCAGAGAGGAGCTCTCTTTCACATGCTGATGAGCCTAAAGATCAGCCACTCACTATAACTGTATGTCCACACGTAATATAACTGGACCCCACTTTCATACAAACCCAGCCCTACACACACGCTGTCATGGTGTGTTAAGCCACACGAGAGCCGTCAGGCAAAGCCAATGAGCTTTTCTGGAGAACTAATTATCATGAGGAGGGATAGAAATGTAGGAGATAGAGGAATTAGAGAGATGGAAAATGGAAGAATGCATGAGAAAGAAGAGATGGATAATAAGGGAAAAAGGGACTTCAGATCATGGAAGATGAGACAGAGCAAGGAAAGATGAAATTAATTGGAGAGAAGAAGATGAGATGGATTGAGCAGAAATGGAAGCGAGCAGAAATGAGAGAGAAAGTGATGTTTTGTTCCTAAAGAAAGTTCCTCTGTATTCAGAGCAGTTGTACAGAATGCTGCAACGCCAATGAGCAATTCGATCTTTTTAACAAACTACTGTAATATATGTGTAAAAATGGCTTACATCACTGAAGCTGATACTCATAATAATGGCAAACTGTGGAATTGTTATACCAACATTACAGTCAAAATTAATATTGGACATAACGGTGCCATTGGGCGTGTGGTTCCATTCAGCCGCTCAGTGATCACTAAGTGCTGAACACTGAATGAAAGCCTACGGGAAAAATGAAGGAGAAGCAATATTCAGAATTTTAATTCAAAAACATTACTGAACAAAACATGTTTATATGGCCAGTCTATTAACATGCATATGGTTAGATTTTGTTTATACACGTTGCAAAGTCACCAAAAATGTATCACAGGTTTCATATTAGCATAAAAGTAACTATATAATATTGCAGATATCAGTTATTCTAACATTATAATCTTGACTTTTGTAGCATGTAAGTACACATGTTCTCTTCCTATGTTGGTTGTTTATCTCCACTCGACAAATGATATACCAATCAAAGGTGATGCACCAGAAACAAGAGATTTGACAATATACTGTATGTGACACATAACCTATTAATGAAAGCCTGACGTCAAAAACACTTTATAGCATTCACGATAGCGCCAGAGCCCAAAACATAAGAAAGCAAAGCTTGAAATTGTGAAACAAATTGTATTGTATGTAGGAGGCTGTGGCGCAGTGGATTAGAGCGTTGGTGTTCGGATCAAGGGGTCACAGGTTCAAACCCCACTGCAGTCAGCATGTCGTTGTGTCCCTGGGCAAGACACTTCACCCCAAATTGCTCCTGTGGGGATTGCCCACAGTATTGAGTATGTAAGTCGCTTTGGATAAAAGCGTCTAACATGTAATGTAATGTATTCATAAAAGCTTAAATTAAGTGTGATACTGCCATGTAGCAAAACAGATCACTCCACAAAGGAACTGGGTCATTATCTTTGGGCGTTTCCATTAAAAACAACTTTAACCTGAGAATACAAGTGAGAAGAAAAGGAAGACAACAGGGGGAAAACATGTCAGCAGCAGAGGGCGGGAGGAAGGGCAACGCTGCAAAGCCCTGATAGCCGGGTAGAAAGGATGAGGAAGAGGAGTGCTAATGGAGAAATAGCTAAGGGTAGCTCTGGCAGCAGGTTGTCAAGCATGACATTTAAGTGGAGGTGGGAGGACAGCCCTAATGGCAGGGTGCACAGGAGGAAGAAGGGGGAGTTTAAATGGAAGAAGAGATGGGTGAACACGAACGTGGACGTGGGATGGACAGTTGAAGTGAACAGTTGAAGGCTAGGAGCACTGAAGCGGCATTTAGGAGGAAAGACATAAAAGCAAAGAGTGAAGGTGGAGGAAACAAGCGGATACAGACAAAACTGTACTGTGAAAACTTGATCAGATCTGGACTGAGTCGACCTCCAATAAAGCTTAGTCAAATGTGCGGCTGAACAAAATAAACAGACATGTCGCAGTTTAAATACTTGACCTAATGTTCTATTCCTTTTATTATGAGATGCTACTGGGAGTTATAGTCTAGTTGAAGAGATGACTCCAAATACAGTCTATGGATTGTATATGAAAAAAACAATAACAATCCAACATGGAATAATGTTACATCAAAAACATTACTCCCAGTGTAGATGCTGCATACAGGAGTTGGGCAAACAAACCGTTGTTTAAAAAAAAAAAGTTGTTCAAGATTTAACTCCCGTACCTCCACAAATGGTTGCCTTTACGTTTTTGATGTTTATTGATACAATAATTTGCTAGCTTTAGAGGACTGACCAAACAGCTTTCATGTCATCATACCAGCAAGACTTGTGGCCGAAGGCATATGTTGCCAGGTTGTATGTATGTCTGAATTATTGTAAACTAGATATATCAGTGGAGGACATTCCACCTGGAGGATCAACTGATTATATTTACTTCAAAGGTCAAGGCCACCTTCACCTCAAATACATCCCATTCTATTGATACAAATATCTCAGGAATGCCTTGAGGGAGTTTTTGAAATCCCTGCAAAATAAACTTGGACTCAAATACTGTTTGAACTGACAGGAATCTGGTGGTTGAAGGTCAGTGTGGCCTTACAAAACACGTTTTTGGCCAAACCTCAAGAATCCTTGGGCCAATCATGAGGATTCACACATAACATGATGTAGTGAAGAAAGTAAAAGATTAACTCACTCAGCACTTGTTTGTTTTTGCTATCAGTGCGTGTCCCCTAGTGCTTTGATATTGTGTGTTACAGGGACTGTGTCTACTGTTCTGATGACTTAAAAAAATACGTTTTTAACCAGATTGTATGCATATAGACATGTGTTCTTTATACCACGACCGTTTTCCTAATATAATATAATTTAAATATTGCAAATTGCTTTATTTACAGTATTGCAATACATCCAGATGTATTTACTTGATACCCCATCATCCTGATTCATTTTGTATCTGATATATTTGCAGCCAATAGTTACTGAACTAAATTGGGTGCGCAGTATTACTTTTTTTTTACTATTAAATGCTCTTTGCAGTACTTCAATTTAATATATGATTTTGTCGTATGCATAAATAAACCCATAACAGTTAGCAAATTAAGTCAGTAATGATACCCACTTAGATGCTTTCTTTTTTGGTTACAGATGATTACTTTTTTAATAAAACTTGCTGTGCGAGAGGCAGCCTTGAGTGGTTGTTAGTTACTGCCATCTATTCTCTGTGGAAATATTTTGGCCACTGAAGCGAGCACTCTCCCAGTGGCTCTGAATGCAATCATACATTATTTCTAGTATAGCCAAGTTGCCAGGAAGCAAATGCAATTCTATCTAGTGGGCCGTCAATAACTGTGCTCAACCTAGAAAACGCATCATAACTAACCCCATGGCACCTACATCTCCCCTGTTGTACCATTTACTTTGAATTGAGTGTGGTTATGATATACAACCTCAGGCTTTGTAGGCAGGGGGACCAAGTGTTTCCAACTGTGACAGTCAGTATTACAGTTGTTTGTCTCGTGGATTGCTTGGCAAGGAATATCTAAATAGAAATAGTAAAATATTCAAACTGCTGAAGTAAAAAACACTTCTAAGATTCTGAGAGGGTTTTCAGCATCTATTTAGTGACATCAACATGGGACTGTTACAGCGTTAGAAATTATAATTTTCTATGTTTTTATTTAGTACTGTAGATGTCGGATAACTCAATTTGTAGACTGGAGTGTATTGAATAATGTATGGAGTTCAATGTATTGATGTGGTACAAATGGCATGTTTTACTGAACTGAAGGGGTGTTTCTATGGCCAGAGATAATTCAAAACTCTTATTACAACAAACACGTGTGGAGGGCAGAAGAAGAATAGTAAGAATGCTTAACTGCATTGATTTTGTCTCCTTTTAAAAAAAAATTCAGTCTTCTGTAGAAAACAAACACTCTTAAGAATTTAACACGGTTTTCAGGATCTATTTAGTCAAATTGTTTAAATTGTTTACATGCTTTAATGTTCAAAAAGGTCTTTATTTTGCTCATGCTGCCTGTGCTGCAGCACCTCTTTTCACCCTCTGTCTGAAACCAGAGCCCAGTCAGCTCTGATTGGTTAGCTTGTCCGGCTGTTTTGATTGACATGTGTCGTAAACCTCCCGCCCCTTTGTCTATCATGAACAATGTGTTGAAGCGCTAGCCGATAGAAGTGAGAGTGTTACACAGTGATGTCATTATGTTACCAAGGTAAATAAAGGAGATGTTTCAGGCAGGGGGGGAGTGTGTGGGAGAGAAACTCCCCCTGGAAGGAACTTTGGGATTTTAGCCTTCGCAGAAAATGTACATGAAAAAAACCTACATAACACTCTAGAGGAAAGGAAAATCATCAACAAGCATAATAGGGCCTCTTTAATGATATCTGCTTCAGGGAAAAAAGGACCTGTGTCCAATCCGGTCCAATTTATCCCATTAAAAATCTATAACGGTAATGAGTGCTGTTTAAAACTCATAAAACTCCCAGGTAACAAGAGTGTTGAACATGTTGTTGAATTAGCATTGTATTAAAGCTTTCAATTGCTCGAGGTGTACCTTATATATAAAGCCTACAATCTTATTGAATCACATTAGCATGCATACAGTATACTGCAATTTCTTGGATAACGTTTCTTACTGTATGTATTCATGTGTGTCTGCCCATGTGTGTGTGGCCATGCTCATGCCTACATGTGTGAATGCAGGTGTGCGTGCTTATCCACCTGTATGTGTGTGTACTTTCCTCGGCCCAGCTCGGGAGATAACGGCCGTGGAGGAGCCGGCAACCGTCGCCGAGGAGACAGATATCGATGCGGAAGAGCCGGCACAGGTGCCGTCAGCAGAGGAGTTAAACCCCAATAGAGGGGTGACCGATTTAGACGCCACAGCCAAGACGCCTGACGTTAACCCAGTGGAGACGAAGGTAAATCCTCCAGACTTGGAACAATATATTTGTGTATCTGTACACAGCTTTTTTCAAACCTCTTAGGGATTTCTCTCCATGTGTGGCAGCAACATGGCACTGCAGTGGCTATTCACAGTTACAAAACCAGAAAGCGTTACACTAAACTTGCTAGTTCAAGAACGTATTTCAGGTCAGTTTAAAAATGTTTTAAGATGTTTTTTAATTTGGCAATTATTTTTGTATTATGTTTGACTTCATATCAGTGTCAGCTTTACTGGTCCTTTATTTGAGGTTAAAGGGCCACATTTAGTCAAATTTCACATTTAATGGAATATTTAAACTTAGGAATGCATATTCTTGTAAAAGCAAGATGGCATACATTGAGAATGACTATAACTCAAGGTCTGCTAGCTGGTAAATCACAATGGTTACCACCAGTTTGGAGGCAAGATTGTGAGCGTTGGTTACTGTACGTTTTAAGGAGGCTGTCATTTCTAAATGCCAGAAGCATTCGTCACAATACAGCGTTTTTCTAATACGCAGATTATAAAACACTCAGTCAAAGGGCAACATTGATCGTCTTCCTTCATTACTACTTTATTTGATGTACTAATATCTGACTTTCTTGCATCTTCCAAACATGCTCCATATTGTTTTCAATCCTGATTTCAACATGTTAACTCCAGTTTGAAGCTCAGCTAAAAACACACATATTTACCTAGACAGGCTTTTGACTAATTTGTAAAAACAAGACATACTGTAGTTGTTTAAGGTGACTCACTGCTTTTAAAGAGCTATTTTAATGTTGTATGGCTGACTTTCCTGCAGCCCAGTTGGCAGTCAACTTCACCAAACAAGGGAGAAGAAAATAAGAAAAAAAGTTCATTGGTGGCCCAGAGCTTGAGGAAAGAAAGGTCCACAAAGAGAAAGTAAAATATAGTCTGTTCACGTTGAGGCTTGAAAACCTGGGAGGAAATTAAACATCCATCTTGTCGCTCCAGGTCAGGCTGACCCCTGAGTGTAACAAAGGATATCCAAAGTTTACACAAGCTTTCAGATATTCTAGTTTTATTTCTTTAAGGCTGTCTAATTCACAAGATATCCTGGAGTACTGAAACTATCTTTACCGTGATTTGAATAAACGTGCCTGTATTAACCACCAGTAAAATCAAGTTAACACCAAGCCTGTGTAAGTGTTAGAAATAGCCTCCACTACTGGTTTTCTATTTGGAAGCTGTCAGCAGTATGTTGAGCTCCAACGCTAATATGCTAGTCATACAGTTTACGTGTTTGTGCGTTGTCATAGTGTTAGAGATTTGATGCAGCTCACTCAAAGTATCTGCTCGTCGTCCTGTCGAAACATGCCACTAGTAGTATTCTATATATAACCAGGGAAATGTTTCTGTCTGGAGGAGCAGCTGTTTGGCTCGGCTTTCATAGCAGCGTAGTAGCTGTTGTTGGGATTTACAGCAGTATTCACGAGTGTAATTGTATTTTTGATTGATGCTACTGTGGGGGGGTGAGGGCAGAGAGTGGGCGTAGCATGATGTTTATTACACTACTTTTTGCCTTGATAACTTTGGGCTCTGCATCAAGTTGGCAACATTGGTGTATGATAATACTTTTACTAGTTTGTGTTTTTTCTCCTGGCAACTCCAAGGAAAGATCATGATATTGTTTGAATATTGGGGAAATTAACTAAACCCCTTTTTACCAGCATATCGGGATGCCAGCACGCAGCACCCAAACATTCCTTCAACTTCTGAAATACACAGTGCAAACCATTTTAAACAGCCATTTACCTGTCGTGCGTATTTGCAACAGTAAGCACAGTTTGAGTTTCTCTTAAAGTTCCAATCCCAATGGGGTTTTGACTACTTGGCTGCACCTGTGGTGATAACTGCAAATTGTAGGTTTGATTTTGGATATCACTTCCCAGGGATCCCAACACTGTGCACTGATTGTGATTATTTCTGGCACGTTACCAAAGACACCAACTTCATAACACTGACTATGCCATACCCACATTAATCATAGTTTTACCTAATTCTACAGAAGTGAGTTAGATTATGATTATAACATGAATCGCTCTTATTTTCTCCACAATATTCAGAATGAATCAGTACAAGAATACTATATTTCATAGTTTTAAAAGTAATTCAATTAGTTTAATTTATAACGTTGAGACTACAATGGATCTGAATTATTGGAAATATATCTGGGCTGCCACCGTTGGCAGTTTGTCTAGCCTTTGAGTAAAAGGCTATCATTTATGCATTTAGAAATGGCTGTATGACATTTTCAATTACATAGTTAGTTTGAAACCAGCACAAGTCGCAAAACTACAGCACCAAAGTCCTGCTCTTCCTACAGCAAACATTTTTCTTTCCCAATACATCCTTATGTAGATCATTATCTGACATCACACGTTTTTAGCATTTATGGGCTACACTGTAAGTTGTATCGAGGTCATATTTATTTCATTTGAATTATAATATTGTGACTTGATTTCTTTAAATTATTCAACTAAATGATATATAACTAGCATAACACTGAAAGCGCAGACCTCCGCCTATCCCGCCTTCATGTTGGCAGAGGTATTGAATTTCAATAAAAACAGATGTCATGTCAGGTGGGTTTACTCATCAAGGCAGCTGCTTTCTTATCATAATAAGGCAAAACACCCACCACAAATCATCTCTGCCTATTTTTAAGAGAGAAAACTGCCTGCCAAGTTTCCAATTTTTGGGACAAAGTTGCAGCGTTTTAGCCAAGCAATTATCCCGGGGGGCATATCTGCCAGCACGACCAACAAAATGTCTTGTTCTGTTTCTGATTTATTCAGCCAGTTACAGAGCAGCCTCATTAAGCTCTCTGATGGTCAGATGCACACACAAATGTTTGGGTGATTGGGTAGTTACTAAGGCAGTCTCAATTAATGGTAAATATTTAACGGGCAGGCAATAGTGCAGAGTTTTTTATCCCACTTGAGAAATGTTGTCACCTTAGGCCCCAAGCCACTTGAAACCTGTTAAGTTTTCACATGGCGACTCACCAGAGCAAGATTTTGAGCACCATTTTGGGTCCTACTGTAAGTCAGTAACAAAGCCAAATTATTCAGCTTATTACAGGCTGTGGTTCCCATTAACGTTAGAGTTATAAGACCTTTCATTGCATTGATTGAAAGCAAGACGGCGTGAAATCACTGAAACAACGAGATCTCAGCATTGACCCCTACTCTCAGGTCATTGGAGGAAGTGTGTGTCTAGTTGCTTTTCCACGTACACGATGTATTTTATTTGAGTGTTTTTTAATCTGACACATTAATCACTCTTAACAGTTTGACAGATTGTGCGGGGATAAGTGGGTGGAATAAGATACGTGTGCCTTTGCGTTAGAACCCATGCGTGTTTTTATTACACGAGAGTGTGTGTATTCTACGGAGCGGAGGGATTTGATTCACTACAGGGTTTCCCTGGAAGCTCAGGCAGGGAAAGCAGCCTGCGACTGTTAAAGTTCATTCTCCTCTTGTCAGCTCCCGTTAAACTGACAAATCCCTCTGCAGCCCGCGTTCAAACGCTCCCGCAGGACTCGCCGAGCGCACATCAATCCTACCTTGGGCTTTATGTCCATGTGGTTGGGTCAGGTCGTTTACTTCTGAAGGCGCTGGCCTCCAGGATTAGAGGGAGTGTCACTACAAGACAGATTGGAGAGTCGAAAGTCATAATTTTACGCATTTCAAGTGGTTGCCTTTTTTTGTTTTAAATATAAGGTTTCTTTGTATGTGAATTAAATATGTGTATGATTGTGCGTGTGTGCGCTCATGTGTCCTTTGAAGTGAGGCAGTACAACAAACGCTTTGATAGAGGTTTAGCCTCTGGCCCACTTTCAGATGCTGTCAGGTGTAAACACTCTGATCCATGAGAGCTCCAGGCAGCGCTCCACTCACAGATCACTCTCTTACTCTTTTCTCTCTTGTCCCACCATCGGTGTGATTCAGTTGTTTTGCGAACGAGCGCCACCTTACAAGGACGGATCAATGAGCTGGCTTACCAGTTTTCTTGAGTCACAAAGCTCATTTTAAAGTCCCAAACACATGTATTTCCTTTTGAGTATGCAGTATTTGTCCTCGCATCACAGCGTTTGGTAAAATGTCATTCAAATGGACGTGCAAGACTGAAAGACCCTTTTTTGTAGTGTGAATCATATCCTAAAATGTATCATGTCAGTACTTTTACAGTGCAGGTTTTTAAGCTCTCAATGAATGGTGGAAGTATGATGGTCCCTCGCTGTTGAAACCTGACTGTAGGTAGTCATTGCTTTTATCCAGTGAGGCTGTAGGACGGAGTTGGGCGGTGTAAGAATGAAGTGGAGTTAAACCTGAAAAGGTAGAAATCAAAGCTTTCACTTTTAGTGTGACTTGGAAATGGAAGTGTTGACGCACATTTTGCAGCCATTGATCAAGGAAAAAGGTGTCAGGAAGACTCAGATGAAGAATGTTGGCATTGGTGCACATACACTGGAGGCAATTAATTTCCTGGTGAAGCACGAGCATCCTTTGTCCAAGTCATTTGCATATTCATAGATACTAATGAAGAACAGCACAGCCAATCTTAGACAGAAAATGGTATTCAAAGCAGAGTAATTCCATGTAATTTAAAAACATGTCTAGACTCAGTCTGGTCCCAGCCCCTGCAACACACAACACCATACCAGTACGTTAGACACACAGATAACAATGACTTCTCATAACTCACAATACTGACACACAAAAACGTTTTATGCAAAACAGAGAGTCATTTTCTCAATAGTCCTCAAACAAAAAGGCAATATAAATGCATCCTCTCAGCTTTTAACTGAGCTTAAACTCATCAGTGTGTTTTTGAGAAAGTGTCACTTGTTCCAGTTATATTGATGATACAGAGTCAAAGCCACTTCTCTTGATAGCCCTGCAGTCTGATTAAGTGTTTTTTGTTTGTATGTGTTCTCTTGTAAAGTTGTTTAAAGATTTGATACAA